GCCTTTTGCAGCAAGCTCTGTACAGATATAGTGAGCCACATGGCCATTCAATAATGAAGTGAGAAACAAGGAGTGGTTAAGTAACTGAAACTATGAGAAAAGGTGTTAAGAAAGAGCTAACTGCATTCAGCATACTATCCAATACCAAATACACACCAATAAAACAGAGTAGCTGTCCAGCTCTGAGAATACCAGCCAGCTGAGCACTAACCACAGAAGGAGGAGAATTGTTTCACCATTTTTAGCTACTTATCTTTTAATTAATAATATCACTTCAAGAGAATAATTTGCCAATTCTTTATATCACTCTTACAGTTTCTCAGCTTCTCTAAGATAAGGGCTCTTATCTGGTACATTATTTAGCCATTCCACACCCACCAATAAAAAACAAAAAGGCATATTTACTGGGACTATTTATGTGAGTACATTTGTAATATTGATGTTTGTTGGGCTCCTTATATATGAGCACATTAGGTCTTCGACTTATTATGAAAAAATCACTATCCTAATGACAAAAACATGTTCAAGATACCTGTTATTGGAATTATTTTTATTTTTTTTCTTTGCTAGCCTCCTATAACTTCAGCTGAAGTTCTTGTCTTGAAGTAATAGATTTTTATAAATAAAATTCTCATCCCAAGAAGATACATGGGAAACATATGAATTCTTCATACTGTGCAGCATTTGGGCTGGACCATTCACACCCCCCTGGATTCAGCCAGACTGGTAAAGCTGGTTCAAGGTATTGGTTGGTGTCACTGTTTCAGAATTATGGGGAACAAATGTCCATGTTCGGGTGGAAACAGATTAACTTTGCAAACAGCCACTAACAGCCATATCTAAAGCTATTACCCTGAGCCTGTGGGGTTTTTTGGCTGTTTTTTTCCCACAACTGCTTCAGGTGGAAACCAGTCAATCACTTTAAAAGGGAAATCCCATGAAGGAATAAGGGCAACCTCTTTCATTCTGAGTGGAAGGCAAAAGCACAGGGGCAGGATCATCCTAAATCACCACATATGGTTGTTAAACAAACATGTATCAACTAAACATCTGCAAAAAGTTTACTAATTGGGGAGTAGCCATCTGTGAAGTTTCCACAGGGTAAAGCAAATTAACAAGTTTCACACATAGGAGAAGCAAGCCACTAGAGTTCAGTGGAGAAACAGCTCTGCTGTCACATAGCAAACATGGTGGGATAAGAGTCTTGTCCTCATGTTGTCCTGGTGAATGGGCTGAAGATACTGCTAAACAAGCTCACATGCTTATGGGTGCAAATCTAGCTACAACAACATAATCTAATTATGCTAAATTACCCTATCACAGAATGTAGATTAGAATCCTCCATTTCCTTAGATTAGAAACCTTAGTTTCCCTTCTCCAGTGCAATGCAACTTTGAGCTATGATTTGAATATTCCTTTTGACTGGACTATATTCTGCACAGTGTCTCTGTATCGTGGGAAATAAGGCTTGGTTTAAAGCAAAGTGCATTGTCTAAAAAGGCTGCTTACCAAAGGTAGGTGTTGCATAGTACTTCTCAGACATTTTAACCTCCTGGAGAGTATTTGGGAGGTTTTCCAAGATTGTTCCTAGGTGTTGCCCCCTGTTTTTTATCTGGTCTATTCAAAGGTTACTTTTGGCGAAATCAGAACATGCCCAAAATAATCCACAAATATATGCACTTTATGTCATGTCTTCTCCTGTGTGAAACAACTATCCCAAAGAATCACAGATTTATGTGCAATGGACTTTTTGCCTGTATCACCCATGCCAGGGACTCAGTTCCTCAGCAGTAATATGAATGGATATTATTCCTATCACTTGCAAACTGGTGGAATTACAGCATGTTTCAGATATGGAGCAACAAAAAGCAGGTCTCTAATTTCTGGATGTGAAAAGACACATATTTTAATAGCTTCATATCAGATGATAGAACAAGTCATCAATAAAGACAAACCTAGTTCCAGTTCACACCCTGGTTCAAAAGTGGATGGAAGCTCAGAAAAATGGCCACATACAACCCCTAAAATATGCAGAACTGTATTTCAACGAAGCTAATTCCTCTAAAGCACTTGGCATTGCTGTTGTGGAGCTGTTTTAAGTAACTACATACGCAAAACTACTGCTGAATTTCAGAGGCACAGCATACCTAATGATTATGGGAGGTACTTAAGAAATACACACTCCCATCAAAATACAACTTTTCATTTTAGAGGCTCGACAGTAATAGAATTGTATGATTGTCTAGGCTGAAAAAGACCCTTAAGGCTGTCAGCTCCAATTATTAAGCCAGCACTGCCAAGTCCATCACTGAACAATGTCCCTTAGTGCCACTTCTGCACATCTTTTAAGTAATTCCAGGGATGGTGACTCAGCCACTTCCATAGGCAGCCTGTTCCAATGCTTGACAAACTCTTCTGTGAAGATTTTTTTCTTGTTATCTGGTATAAACCTCACCTGGTACAACTTGAAGCATTTCCTTTTGTCGTATGACTTGTTACTTGGGACACAATTTCCTTTTCAGATCATCATGGAAAGTTATAAGGTCTCCCTGCTGTTTCATTTTCTCTAGGCTAAACAACCCCAATTCCCTCAGTCATTCCTCATAAGACTTGTTACCTTCCAGAATAGATTCCTAAATCAGCAACCAGGTTTCCATACAATCACATAATGAGTATTTGGTTAATTAACTCACAAGTCCGTTCAGCTTCAGAAAAGCACCGATTTTGAGCACTCCCGTGGTTTTACTTGACACCGGATACTTCACCCATCCTGACCATTCCATCGAGTCTCCTGACTCTTCACCACAGCAGTACAGTCAGTAGCACGGATGGAGAGCTGCACCTTGCTGCTTGATGGAAGAGTCAGTCGTACAACCAACAGTTTTGTGCCTAAAAAGTACACGAAGACGTTGCTGCCACTAGATGGCATAAGGTGCCCATGAAAAGCAATATCGTATTTCTGCGAGCACAAGTAATGGTCTCTTCATTTAGAGGAGTTTGTTCCCTCATGGAGAAACAGAGGTAGGAAGGCAACAGGGCAGCACAAAAGCCCTGCCTGAGAACATAGTGTCTTTGAAAAGCTATACTGCATCCCAATGCTGTCTAATTCTCCATCTCCCATTGCATCAAGCTGTTTATCACCAAGTTTTATAGCTGTTTTATCATCAAGTTTTAAAGCTAGCTAACAACAACAAATACAAGAACAAATACAGCAAAGTTGCAGCTGAAGCCCCAAAGGATGTTCAGGGAAGCTTTAAAGACAGTGTACAATAGAGTTCAGAACTCTGGATGCGAGAAAATATGAAGTTGCGAGGATAGTGAAAGATGAAGGAACATAGGAAAATCCTTAGCCACTTGAAAGGATTTACTCCAGAAGTCTTGTTGTTGACTTGTGGAGTGATTATGGGACACACCACATGATGTGAACAGAAAATAACACAAAATGACCTCACCTACACTAGGCCTGGGGACAGGCAACACTGTGGGAGTCACTTGAGAAAACATTGGCACCAAACACCTATTACCACAATGATGGTGATGTAAGTTTTCTTTTCCAAACATACTGGGGAACAGATCTCCCAACATATTTCCCTCATCTATACAGCATCATCTCCTTTTAACACTAGGCTGGGAAGTGACTCTTACTGTCATTGCACCTTTGTGAACACCAAGATGTCTCTGAGGGCTGAATGACTAACAGGGCATCAAGGACTTGAGCTATATACATCCTGGCAGGTCTGCTACAAAGGACTGTTGTAGCATTGCAAGGTGGAAGAAATGCTGAAACCTTCGAGGCATCCCCTTCAGAAGCCACTCAGAGTAAGGCCACGAGAACAGCCATTTCATGTCCATGCACACACACACCAGAGATAGCTCAGCAGAGGAAAGAAAGGAAGGGTCTTTGCATGATATATTCCAGCGAGGGTTTTATTATATCCATCATGCCAAACGGTCCAGAGACAACAGACGAAACCATGTGGTGTTCACGACTTAAGGGTGGGGTCAGTAACCAATGACCTGAGGGCAGAGGGGTGGGCAAAGGGCAGGACAAAGGGCAACAACCTGTAGGGGGGATGATGGATGAATAATTGGGGTGGGCAGTGTCAACTGGCCAATGGGGGAGACAATCTAATGTAGATTGGCTGTAGTGCTGCAGGGCATCATGACTTTAGTCTTCCCTATCAGCCTATATGGGGAAAACTCTATTATATAGTCTTCCTTGAGGGGGAGGAGTCAGAGGATTCCACAAAGGACCACATTATTGGCAAGTTTAATTTCTTCTGGCACAGTGCTACACACGGAGCCCTTTCATCAAAACCCCCTTTCCAAAATTTCTTCAGGTTTAAAGACTTTGCAACACCTTGCAAAGCACAATGACTCAAGAAAGACCAGACTGAAGCTGCCCAGAAAGCAAGTGCAGAACCTCTGGACCTTCACATTTTCTTGTGATTGGGACCAACAGGGATGTCTTTTCAAGCATGTTCGTAGCAGGCCGCACGCTGTCGCTTGGCAGGTGGAGCAGTGGAACACAAAATCAGCATTGGCAGCTGGCATAGCAACACGTGTCAGCAGTTACCATGGTGCAGGGGGACAAAGGGCTTCAAGAGGGACAAAACAGAGGAGTTGGAGAATTGTCCTGGAAGTCCAGCATTGCAGCTTTGGAGCGATCATCTCCGAGATGACAGAGCTCCGGGAGACCCTGCCCGCTTGGACTAGGATCCGAGCCCACCCTGAGCTTCATTTCGAGGACGTGAGCCCAGCGACGCCCGGGCCATACGCTGAGGGAAGAGCCCAGAGCGGATGAGGCGAGAGCTGCTCGAGCGCCGGCCGCAGCCTGCGGCCCGGCCGGAGCAGCCCGGGGCAGCCCGAGGCGAGCCGCCGCCCGCCTCACGAGCCGCCGCCCGCCTCACGAGCCCCGGGCCGCCGCCTGCCCGGGCCCCGCCGTCCCCTGCCCGGCGTCCCCTCCGCCCGCGCCGCGGCCTCTGTGACGCCCGGTAAATCCCCGCGTGCCGCCGCAGGTTCTGCCGGTGCCCGGAGCTGGCGCTCAGAGCTGCCCAACCCGCTCCGGGAGCAGCAGCACGGCCCACGCTGGCAGCACTGCGCCGTCTCGGAGGATCTAGGCCGCCGCCACTGCGCGGGGCTACCTTTTCTGCCTTGTGCTCAGGGCCCTTTCTGGTCCTTTTCGCTTCCCTGTCCTTCATCCCCATCCACACCCGGGGCCAAGCAGCCCGCCGGGTGCTTCCTGCTGCTGACCGCCCGCAGCAGGGCCATGTCGTCGCACGCCCTGCGGAAGAGAGTCCGGCGGCTGTTCAGCAGAAGGCGACAGCAGCGGCCATCCAGCAGCCCGTGTGGGCAGCCCTGCACCGCCGCCACTGGTGCCTCCGAGCTCAGTGACAAGGTCCAGGGCGGGCTGCACAGCCGCGACGTGCCATGGCTGAGGCGGTGGCGCTGGTATTTCAGGAGATTCGGCAGGGACCCGCGAGGCCAGCGGAGGCGGTCAGTTCTGTGGGCCACTGATCGGACACCTTGGCTGCTTCTGGCAGGCGCTGTCGCGGCATTTTCTCAGCCAAGCTTCACTAGTCCTCAGCAAGCTTCTCTTCAGGAAAAGGCATCAGCATGGTGCGACCAACCCCTCTCCCCAGCGCCTTTAGATGCCACGTGGAAGCACCTGCCCTTAAGGCCGTGTGTGGGATCGCGTTCAAGCTAATGGCTTGAAAAGCGAGATTTGTCCTGTCAGCTGGGAGAGTGAATTCTTAGAGTTTTTCGTGGCTTGAAGTGGCCTGGATGGCTCGAGCACTGTTGGAAGTGCATGCTGCCAGCCTGCCACTTTGCTGTCGACTCGGCAGGATTGTTTCACAGCTGCTTAGACCTCACCCATACTCTTCTGTTCTGTAGCTCTTCCAGTGTGATTGGTAAATGCAGGTCTGCTCTTGGCTGCTCAGACCTGTCTTGTACTTTGTCTGCTGAGAACTCCCAGAATGTGTTGTCTGTGGCGCACTCTCCTCAGACAGACCCAAACTCACTGCCATTATACCAGCAGCACGGTTGCTCTGCATGGGGGGGTTTTAAGGGGTTTTAGCAAAGGACCTAAGTGCTATGAATGGGAGCATTGGGAGAAGGAGAAACAACTTGTCCAAGGGGACTTGATGGATTCCAACCATACTTGATGGATTCCAGCCACACATGAAGAGAAAACATCTTGCATGTAGATGATCAGGCAGTTGAACAGCTTGCCCCAGGAGTTCATGCAGCTGCATATGGGAGGATTTTAAAGAGTAGTTGAAGGAGCACTAAACAGCATGGCCTTACCCTGTAGTCAAGGCTGCACTGCAGAGGCAGTGGGACTGGAGACATCCTGAGGTTCCTTCTAAGCTGAATTCTCCACGCTTCCATGTACATGGCTGTCCTTTCATTGTACATGTAGTAAAGAGGGAAAAAGTAGACTTGGGAGCAAGCAGGGGGGGGATGATGCTGAATTTGACATGTTTCCTATCAAATTTTAGATGCTTTAAGACTGCTCTTGAGGTTAATACAAGCAATGAGGCTGATGTTGAGGAAGACAGTCTGCGCTGGCAGGAGGAGTTGGAGAGGGTTGAAATGGAGGTATAGAAAGCCTGTTCCTAAAGAAATAAACCATAAGGTGCTTGATGCTTTCCTGTCCATCACAAAAATGGATAAAAGAGTATCCTGTGAGCCAAAAGGAGACCTAAGGAAGTGGATGTTACATTGATCTTTGATCTTCCTCAGTTCCTACTGCATTTGTGTCCCACCATGCTGAGGTAGAGCTGCCTCTCTTCAGGGTTCAACCACTTCCTGGTCAGGGATATAGAATTCCTCTCTCTGCTCTACATTCAAGATCTTCCTGGTTTAAGAACACAGCACAAGCACCCCAGCGTGATTCCCAGCCCCAGAGCAGGACTGACAGCGTAGTTCACCTGGGAACCTTTGCTGAAATGGTGCTCACCAAGATATGACTGCTGCCATCCCTCCTGGTACCACCATGCTGAAGCAGAGCTGCCATTCCTCAGGAATCCATTGCTTCCTGCTCAGCGGGAGCTGGCACCTGTCTCAGTGCTGCATTTGAGGTCTCTGCCACTTCAGAAAACTCCCCGTGCTGCCATGCTGTGCTCCAGAGCAGGTCCACTGGAGCAGTTTTCCTCTAACTCTTCCTAGACTCCTTCATTCTTTAGAAATGAAAGCATTTCAGTTTATGCTTTCCTGCAGTAGCAAATAAAGTAAATGCAAAAAGCATCATCACAGGTTCCCAAAAGGGTTGAAGCAGCAGTGTAAGTGCTTAGAACCATGTTTTAGGAAATCTGTGGAGGGATGGGAGAGGCCGCTCTAGAATATTGGGAAGTAACACAGATTGTGTTCATTTGCTGGTAGAAGCAAAACTTTGAAGGTACTTGAGATGATTTACAGTTCTTTGGGCAGAGGGCATGGGCAGATATCTGCAGCATGTGAATCCTTGGGCAGTAGGTGACTGCCCTGTATAAAAGCACAACTGAAGACTGTGGATTCTTTCTGTGATTTCTGTGATTTGACAGTTGCAAGAGGTGGAAGAAAAATACCTAAATTTGGAGCGTTGTGTTCAGAACCTGAGGGCTACCTTGAATGATAAGGATAGAGAAGAGCTAGCTGCTGCCCAGGAGCTGCAGAACCAGCTGTTGGCATATTTGGAGAACCAGACTACCATGAAAGGACTGGAAGAACACCTGCAATGGTAAGGGAACAATGCAGTGGGACAAGGTTTCTCTTGCTTGCAGGGGCTGGGAGGAAACCACAGGACACATACTCTGATTTTGAAAGACACTCTTGCTTTTGATTCTGTTACTTCACACAACATCTGGAATTGGTGCTCTCCTTGGAGAAATTTCTTCATTAAGACCTCTACTTCTCTTACAGCCTTGAAATTCAAAATACCAGATTGGAAGCCACTGTTCAGCAACAAAATGACAAGATTGAAGCCCTGCAGAGAGACCTGCAAGCCTCTGCCTCAGTAAGCTGCTCATAAATTTCCCTTTCAGTGACTCCTGAGCCTAGTGACCTATTTCTGTGCGGAAATTTTATTTTGGATTTTTCTGAAGATCTGAGGGGAGCTCAGGTGCCACCGTGCTTAGTTGAAGCCCCCTGGCTTCCCCTCCCCGGCAGAGGCACGGTCAGCTGCGGGGTCACTCCCCTGTATCTTGAGGGGACTTGGGGAGCGTCTGGGGCAGAAAGTGACACTGCCTGCCTTGTTTGGGGGAGAGGCGGCGTCCGAGGAGATCATGAGGGAGATGACTCAAGGCTGGGGAAACAGTTTCAGGTTTAATCCAGGCTCCGGGGATCTCCGAGTTACAAAGTGTACAGCAGCCAAACGTGGACTCGAGGCTTTTGCAACATCTTAAATAGAGGGGTGGTAACAGGGAGAACATTGGTAAATGGAATGCCCATTGACCAATGGAGGGATCTGGGGGAGTGGAAGGTGAAAGGATAGACAGATACAAAAAACAATGAGCGAGACTTAAGGGAGGGACCCCGGGCCCTCATCCAGTCCCTCGACGCCCAGGGTAGAAGATTCTGGAAGAATGGGATGGGGAACCGAGTGATGGACAAGGTAGCACAGAGGGGAGAGGGGAGTGACCGAGCGTTGCCAGGGGGATTGACATAGAGGGAACGGTGGGAAAACTCGGAGTGGAACCATTGGGAGAAAATAGGAGGTGGAGGGGCAAACCATTACAGAACTATTACAGAAATATAATAATATAATACAACACTCAGTGCCTGCATTCTCCTGAATACAGGCTTCCCAGAAAGCAGTTGAGGACCTGGCATTCATAGCAAGTGGTCTTTGAGTAGCCTTTCTAGTCTCAAATAGAAGCAGTGAAGTTTTCCTTGTTTCCCCCCTCAGCATTGGGCTACTTTGAGTGGAAAAGGAGAAGAGGTTTTTCATTGTTTTTTTTGGCTACCTGCTGGTGGCCAGCAGCATTTCTTAGTTTGAATTCACTCTGAAGACGGGTGTAATTCTGCAACTGAAGTAAAAGCACCCATAATATACTCAGCAAAAACTTCATGCTTGTGGAACACCATTTCCCTAGGACTCAGTGCCACACCTGCAGCAGAAGGTTGCCAATGCAGTTCTAGAGCAATCTACATCCAAAGCTCCACTGGCAGTTACTATGAGCCTTGAGGCTGACTTGGAGAATGGCAGCCTGCACTTGCATAAGGAATTGGCTAGGGTTTGAGCAGAGTTAGGGAAAGCCTGTGCCTTTAGAATCAAGCTGTGCATTTCTTCCAATAGATCCTGAAAAAGAATAAGACAGTATTCCAGGGGAAAGGAGAGAGACATAGGAAGAGGTGGTTACATTGGGCTTTGACCTGCATCTGTCCTTCCTGCCTCCTCCTCTAACCATGCTGAGGTAGAGCTGCCTCTCCTCACGGTTTCCACACTCCACTGTCAAGGGCATGGGTTCCTCTCTCTGCTCTACATTCAAGATCTTCCTGGTTTAAGAACACTACCCAGGCACAAGCACCCCAGCGTGATTCCCATCTCCAGAGCAGGTCTGAGAGCATAGTTCACCTGGGAGCCTTTGCTGAAATGATGCTCACCAGAATATAACTGCTGCCATCCCTCCTGGTACCACCATGCTGAAGCAGAGCTGCCATTCCTCAGGAATCCATTGCTTCCTGCTCAGCAGGAGCTGGCACCTCTCTCAGTGCTGCATTTGAGGTCTCTGCCACTTCAGAAAACTCCCCATGCTGCCATGCTGTGCTCCAGAGCAGTTATGGCACAGATGTTTTCCTCTGACACTTCCAAGACTCCTTCATTCTTTAGGAATAAAAGCATTTCAGTTTATGCTTTCCTGCAGTAGCAAATAAAGTGAATGCAAAAAGCATCATCACAGGTTCCCAAAAGGGTTGAAGCAGCAGTGTAAGTGCTTAGAACCATGTTTTAGGAAATCTGTGGAGGGATGGGAGAGGCCGCTCTAGAATATTGCGAAGTAACACAGCTTGTGTTCATTTGCTGGTAGAAGCAAAACTTTGAAGGTACTTGAGATGATTTACAGTTCTTTGGGCAGTGGGTATGGGCAGATATCTATAGCATGTGAATCCTTGGGCAGTAGGTGACTGCCCTGTATAAAAGCACAACTGAAGACTGTGGATTCTTTCTGTGATTTCTGTGATTTGACAGTTGCGAGAGGTGGAAGAAAAATACCTAAATTTGGAGCGTTGTGTTCAGAACTTGATGGCTACCTTGAATGATAAGGATAGAGAAGAGCTAGCTGCTGCCCAGGAACTGCAGAACCAGCTGTTGGCATATTTGGAGAACCAGACTACCATGAAAGGACTGGAAGAACACCTGCAACGGTAAGGGAACAATGCAGTGGGACAAGGTGTCTGTTGCTTGCAGGGGCCGGGAGGAAACCACAGGACACATACTTTGAGTTTAGAAGACACTCTTGTTTTCAGTTCTGTGACTTCATGATGGAATTGGTGCTTTTTCTGATGGATTTTCTAGCAATAAGACCTATATTTATTTTTAAGCCTTGAAATTCAAAATACCAGATTGGAAGCCACTGTTCAGCAACAAAGGGACAAGATTGAAGCCCTGCAGAGAGACCTGCAAGCCTCTGCCTCAGTAAGCTGCTCATAAATTTCTCTACTGGAGACTCCTGAGCCTAGTGACCTATTTCTGTGTGGAAATTTTATTGAATACTCCCTGTTCTGTCATGCTGTGCTCCAGAGCAGGTCCAGTGTAGGTCTTGGATTCAGTTAAAAAGAAAGCAGAAAATTTCTAACCAGCCTGGAAAAGTTCTGAGAAAGAATATAAATAAGTTGTATTCTCTCACCTTCTGATTCAAAGTCTCTTCATTCCCATCCTACCTCAAAAACATCAGTGTACTGGAGCAGTTTTTCTCTAACACTTCCTAGATTCCTTCATTCTTTAGAAATAAAAGCATTTGACTTCATGCAGTAGCAAATAAAGTGAATGCAAAGAGGATCATCACAGATTCCCAAAAGGGTTGAAGCAGCAGTGTCAGTGCTTAGAACCATGTTTTAGGAAATCTGTGGAGGGATGGGAGAGGCCGCTCTAGAATATTGCAAAGTAACACAGCTTGTGTTCGTTTGCTGGTAGAAGCAAAACTTTGAAGGTACTTGAGATGATTACAGTTCTTTGGGCAGAGGGCATGGGCAGATATCTGCAGCATGTGAATCCTTGGGCAGTAGGTGACTGCCCTGTATAAAAGCTCACTTGATGACTGTGGATTCTTTCTGTGATTTGACAGTTGCGGGAGGTGGAAGAAAAATACCTAAATTCTGAGCGTTGTGTTCAGAACTTGATGGCTACATTGGATGAGAAGGAAAGAGAAACAGCAGCTTCTTCCCTGAAACTGCAGGACCAGCTGTCGGCATATTTGGAGACTGTGAAGCAACTTGAAGAACACGTGCAACGGTAAGAGAACAACACAGTGGGACAATCAGCAGTTAAGGAAGAACCCTTATTTCCAAATGTTTCAGAGCTAATGAGAGACTTGAAGAAGCCAATGCAAAGCTCCTCCGGGAGCACCATAAAACCAAATCGTTAATCACAAGAAGCATTGTCAGTGGAGGTCTGGCTGCAACTCCAATTCTGTATTACTGAGATGGTCACTGCAAGTGACCCAGTATGTTACTGCCTGAAGAGGTAAGCAGTGAGAGGTATCTGCTCAGGAGGTTTGGGCTAGTCATCTGTGATGCCTTCTCCAGGTCTGTTGCTTGCAGAAGCTGTTTGGAAACCATAGAATAGAGCCCTTGTTGCATCAGAGCAAATCATTATGGTTCTGAATGATGCTCTTGATTTTCAATATTTTACTCTGTTCTTTTGTAATTGGCATCCTGGCAGATTTTTATAGTAAGACCTCTATTTCTTTTTAAGCCTTGGATTTGAAAATACCACTTTGGAAGGCACTGTCCAGCAACAAAGCGATAGGATTGACGCCCTGCAGAGAGACCTGCAAGCCACTACTTCTGTAAGCTGCTCATACATTTCCCTAGTGATGAATCTTTGGCTAGTTACTTATTTCTATAGGGAAATTTTGCAATGTGGTTTTCCCAGAGAACCAAGGGGAACTCAGTTCCTGCATTCTGCTGAATAGAGGCTCCTCAGAAAGCAGCTGAGGACCTACCTGGCTTTCATAGCAAGTGGCCTTTGAGTGTTCTCTGTGTCCTGTCCTACAGAGATCGTGCCCTTTCATTAGTAGATTTGAACAGTACTACTAATCTGGGCTACTACTAGTAGCTTACTAGTAGCTTCTAGTAGAAAGCTACTACTACCGTAAGCTACTACTTACGGTAGTAGCTCCAGGGTTCTGCCTTAACTGCTGATGGTAGTGAGGAGGCACAGCTGCCTCTGTAAGCCAAGCTGGGCTCTTGAACTTGGATACATGCAACTGACAGGTGGGGAGATTTCTCTTTTTTTTTTGTGGTGGTTGAAGGTGCACTGTCTCCTTCAGGCACAGGCAGCCACTCAGGACTTCATAAAACAAAGCAGAACCAGTCATGACTCACTGACCAACCAGCTAAAAGACAGAATTAGAGATCTTGAATGTGAATTGGAAAGGATAAAAGATACTGAACAAGAGACTACTTTTCAAAAACAGTGTACACAGACAGAAGTGCAAAAGTACAAGGAGCTGTATCTGAAGGAAGTGAATATCAGCAAATGCCAAGCAAAGGAACTGGAAAGGCAAGTCCGTATTTTTTTGAGTGATAATAAAAGTGACTCTTATTTCCTCATGCATCTTCCTTCCAAATCACTCTTCTCCACCTCTTAGCATCATGTGTACAAGCATAAGATGGCATAATTCTGGTGAAAGACCCTTTCCCCGTCATCAGCCTTCTCTTCATTTCTCTTTAATGTTCCAACAGCAACACCACAGTAGCAACATTATGGCATGAACATAATACTTTTCAAGCTGATGATTTTTTAACTGGCAGCTTTTTTTTGCCAGTCTCTTTAATCTCTTCATCCTGCGTACCACACAAAAGATTAATTTCATGTCCATTACTCTTTGAGTATAAATAGGCCCTTAGACAACAGAATTGGATTCTGTGATGCAAAAATGGATATTATCTTTTTTGGCTTCTGTTTAAGCAGTGGCTCTGAGCTTTGAGCTTTCCTTGGGAAGGGGGATTCAGCCCAGAGTTGTTTCAGAGGTGACGTACCTTCCAGAAGGTAAACCATGTAAACACATGGCTTTCACAGGAGGCTTTGAAGCCCTCATGCTGAGAAGTCCTAAACATTGGTGATGCTGCTCCTTGCACCTAGTGTGATGTCTTAGAAACAGGCCCTCCAAACAAGCTCAGGTCAAATGATGTACTACTTTTGGAGGTTCTTCATCTCAGAAGTTAAATAATAGTTAAGGACCTGGAGAGTAACTCTGGGAAAGTGTTACTACCAAAGGTAACTTTTTGTGTGTTTCCAAATGTTTCAGAGCTAATGAGAGACTTGAAGAAGCCAATGCAAAGCTTCTCCGGGAGCGCCATAAAAGCAAATCGTTAATCACAAGCAGCATTGTCAGTGGAGGTCTGGCTGCAACTCCAGTTCTGTATTCAACTGCACTGGGACATCTTGGCAACAATTTGGGACTGAGCAGAAGTCTCAGTCTAGAAGGAAGCTTCCTAAACCAATGTGAGAAGATCTTATCATCAAGAAAGAGGTTTGCAACCTTTGTGACCAAGGTAAGCATTTTGAAATGCCATTCTCGACTCCTGCTGAAGAGTAGCCATGCTAGGTTCTCCTTTTTAGCCTGAAGTTAGAATCCATTTATTGTTCCATGCCATATTGTCTAATGGGCCAAAGCAACTGTGATTCCTCAGAACAGTGCAGTGCTGTATGTTGTAAGGCTGAAGATTCTTGGTCATTATGGTTGTAAAAATTTTGAACTCTTAAAACCTTGTCTTCCCTCTCTGAGTCATAAATAGAAAGTACTGTTAGTGATCTGTGTACCAGAATTTGGAAGATGGGGCCTTAGGCAGAAAATGTCTCTGTTGCAAGTATTGCAAGAAGATTTTGGGACTCAAGGCCACTTGATATATTTACAAACTTTCAAGCTTCCATTCTAACAGCTGTGCCAAAAGCTGCTGCAAGTGAATGTGGGTGTCTTGACATGGAAAATAATAGTGAACTCTGCTAGCTGCAACCAGTGTGAATTGGTGGATTTATGAAACCAGTTTCCCTACGTAATGTTAGAGAGGAAATGTCAGCTCCTATGCTCTCTCAGCTTCTGTTCCTTTTCTGGTTTCATTTTCGAAATGCCTTCTTGTATTTTAGTGGTCTTTCTATTGTGAGCTTTTTTCCTTGCCTCATGTACATGTAGGCCATGTTCTTGTGTCTCAGTGAAGACCTTTGAACTTAAGGCTGTTTTTCTTTCTTCAGATCCTTAATCAAAAAATCTCTCTCTTCTCTGCAGCCAGATATGTGACAAGGTTTGTAGCCCATCCTGTTTAACCTTGGGTGCTATTGCAAGTGTTTTGTCTATTTATGCTGCTAGGTTTTGATTCAAACTTACTGATGCCTCACATTGGCCTAAATCTGGAGACACTTTGAAATTGCTGATTTTACTTGAGTAAAATCTGACTTGCTGCCGAGTAGTTCTGTGCTTTATGTCTTTGTGAAGTTACGGCTTCTGTGGTAGTTCAGCTTCTGTAAGATGGCACTGTATGTATGGATTTCACCTTTTCTGATAGAACTTGGTTAAACTAGAGGAGAAGTCTCTTTACCACCCTTGCCTATTCTGACAGACAAAAAGTTCTGGGTAGCAACAGCAGTTGTGTGTGCAGTAGAAGTATTGCTCTGCAGTTGAGTTCCTAGACCCTGAGTATCATTTCACAGAGTCTTAGAAGATCCAACTTAAGTCAACATCACCTCCTGAAACAGAATTACTGAGATGGTCACTGCAAGTGACCCAGTATGTTACTGCCTGAAAAGGTAAGCAGTGAGAGGTACCTGCTCAGGAGGTTTGGGCTAGTCATCTGTGATACCTTCTCCAGAGGGCTGGGGACCAGGAGAACAGTGGATACACTGTCTGAGTCCTCAAAGGTGTATTTTCATTCAAAGGCCTTTTCATTCATTTTCAGAGAAATCCATGTGTTGACTTTCTTTCCACCTATTGCTCTTTCCTCACACGGGGATGAGAATCACAAAAAGGTTACTAAAAAAAATAATAGGCAAACAAAACCTTTTTATTCTCTTGATTCATCTGCACATGTTGCAGAGGGTCCTGTGGACCTTCTTGTCATTGTGAAGGCTTCATAAACTGGGGAATGTGCTTTCTTCCAACAGTTTAACTACTTTGGCTTTGCTTAGGATTAGTCTTGCTTTTGGTCATCTTTTGGTCTAGGCCTGAGATTTCCGGATTCCTTCCACTACCCATATCTCATTTCATGTTCTGGAGGAATCCCTTTTCCCCAGGACCTTACTGTCCACGCTTGAAAAAACTTGAGTCTTGGGGGGAGTTGTTCTTTTGGCACCACTGAGAAGAGTTTGGCTCCATCTCTGTTGCTCCATCCCCCTGGTAGTTAATACACACAGACAAGGTCGCCTGAGCTTTGTTGACTCCAGGAAAGAAACAGTCACAGCTCTCTCAGCCTTTCCACACAGCTCAGGTGGTCCAGGGCTTTGGCATCTTCTTGGCCATCACAGGCCATCATCTCTATTTGGGATGATATTTTTAGGTTTTATCACGTTGTCTGTGGGGTGTAAGAATGTTTTAGGAGTTTCAGCAGATACATTTGGGTCATATTATGACTTAACTGTATATTTGATGCATAATTCCAGGTACAACAGGAACTGGATGAAAAAATCACTAAGGAACTGAAAGAAGGTAATGTGCCATTACATTTGGAGTGTTATTAAGGAAAAAGGTGATTGTTTCTAAGTCTTGACAGCTTTCAAGATATTATTTTCAACTTATTCTGCTAAGCACAGAGATTCTGTTCTGCAGGCTCTCCAGTTTCGACTTGAATGTGAAAAATTCCTGCTTCCCAAAATACTGCATAGAATGTTATGCCCTTGCCTAGGAAAAAACAAGCAGAAAGTAAATTCATCCACTGCTCCACTCAGAAACACTTGGCTTAAGATGAAGCTGCTATTCACTAGAGTTGATCTCCAGCAAAAACATCAAAGAAGCCCCCAGGTTTTTTATAGATCATTATAGACTTCAGCCATCCCTTTCTTCCCTGTTCATGGGTTGCATTCAGTACTAAACCATACCATACATATTCTCTGCTGTTAGATCTTGATTTTTCTTGCTATGATTGATGGCTTTGTAGCTTAGGTGTTGCAGTCAATCTTGTTTTGAACAAGTAAGAAGAACATGGTCAGGGATAAAAGACCACGTTTCTTTAGAAGAGATCATTCAGTAGTGTTTACGCAAACATGAGTTCAATGCCTGCAACGTGGAGCTTCAAACACGCTCTGTAACTTGAGGCCAGGCGTCCAAAGAGGAAATCCACTTGCTACATGATAGCTGGTCCTCCAGAGTCACTGCTCTGCAGGGACTGCAGCTGTGTAGTTGTAGTGTTCCAAAAAAGCACAACTTTGAACGTTTAAGGAAATCAAAGACTTCAGGTTGAAGAGCTCTGCAGGGGCTACATTAAGAAGCACTGCTAAGGGCCACTGGAGATGTGTGGAGTCCCGCAAGATGTTCACTGTAAGAACAGTTTGTGGTGATTGGGAATGGGGTTGTGGCTGAGCCTTACCCCTAATGTGCTTCAGCTGTGTAGGACAGTTGAACAATACTGAAGGCAAAGAGACATGGAATGCTGTGTACTGACAAATCACCAAAGGGTAGAGAGGGCACACAGGTGTAATGCATGAAAGATGAAGGGTATAAAAAGTACTGAAATAAAGTGCTGATGCTTAAACCTTCTTCGGAGTCAGTAGTACCTCTACCATCATGTAGCCTCTGGAATGTCTGTCACTAGCTTTAGAAATGCTGTTGACTGATAAGCACGTGTGCACAAAATCTGTTTCTTTCTATTTGCCCAGCTTGTCCCTTGTTAGGTGTCTTTGGAAATTTTGAAGTCTTATTCAGGAGTGCAGACTCTCAAGTTATGTAAAATCTTCTTACAGTGCCTTATTTCTCCCTGTCTGCTGTAGAAGTAACATAAAGAATCTCATCTCGTTTCCCCCCAGCCACTGCTGAACTTGAAACTGGATGTACCGGATCTTCCAAAAACCTTCATGTGGACCAGGATCCCCTTTGCAGAGCAATAGAAGAGTACCGTGATGTTTTAACCAAAGATTACATGATTTGAATGAAATGCTGTGGAAAGGCTCTAAAGAGTTTTTGCTTTTATATAGCATCTATGTTTTTCCTTCTCCACAGTTCAGATGTGAAAACTTGTTCATTGCAGTCTGAATATAAACTATATTAAAATGTATGTCAAGCACAGTGCACTCATCTGTTGGGTTTTTTCTTTGTAGCTGGCTTCTTTTGCACTCATAGTAAGAACCATATTCATTTTTTCTGACCAGCAGATTGACTGATCTGGATTCTTGAGCTTGACAAAACTGTCAGAAATGTTTCCTCTTACAGTAACTTTATTATGTTGCATTATTCATGTTCTGTGTTTTAACGAAAGTGTTCCATTTGTTCTTTCTCTTCCTTTCTCTTAATGTGCTTGGAATGTTTCCAGTGTTATTTTCATGCTTAGAGACATATTCAAGACCTGGAAGTTGAGAAGAAACACCATTCTCAGGTCTAGCTGGGACGTAGATATCTATGGAAGTCCACCTAACAAGTCCTCATCTCCTCAAATTCATGAAGGCAGGCATTAGAACTTTGAGACATCGCTCTCTACACATACACCAAAGTATAGTTGGCAAAAAGTGCATTAAAATAATGTTCTGCATCCTCTCCAGGTGATCCACATGAAAGTTACTCATATTAGTGAAGGTATAGGTTGTAAATCCCAAATGCCCTTTGGAGGCTACCAAATTTAATTAATGCTGAACATTCAGCATTTTTCAGAATTAATAAGATTGGAAAGAAAGATTAGTTCTGCCATCATTGCTGCCATGAATAAAACTTTCTACTTGATATTTTGGCATTGTTCTGCCTAATTTAGCCCAGGGTATCCCAAATATTGTCTACCTGAGTAGGCAGCCCAGGACTCTGCTCTCAGGACCTGACATTTTGTGGTATCCTAGAGCAAGTGGCCCAGGACTGCACTCTTGGGACCCAAGAGCACTGCTCAACAATAGCAAAAACACCTCTACACTATCATCATCGTGTTCAGAACAAATCCAAAACACAGTCCTATGCCAGTCATTGTGAAGAAAATTAACTCTACCACAACCCTAACCAGCACAATAACACTCTGATGTTTTGGCTGTTGCTGAGCAGTACTTATCAGAAGTCAGGGAGTTTTCAATGTCTCATGTCTCAGCCAGTGAGGAGATGCACAAAAAGCTGGGAGGAGACATAGCTAGGACAGCTTACCCAAAGTGGCCAAAGGGATATTTCACACCATGGAAACTGGGTCAAATGAAACAGGATGGGCATCAATCAGTGGGTGGTGAGCAACTGTATTGTGGCTCACTTGTTCCTTATGAGTTTCATTTTTCCTTTTTTAGAAATTACAATTCTTACCTTGTTGTTTGTATCAATTATTAAAGTGCTCTTATCTGAACCCACAAGTCAGGACTTTTTTTTTTTTTTTTTTTGGTGTTACTTTTTCTAATTCTCTCCCCCATCCCACTGGGGTGGGGTGGGGTGGTGGTGTGTATGCAGGGGGTAGTGATCACGCAGCTGTGTGGTACCTCAGTTTTGGTCTGAGAGTGCGCCACAGCATTTGGGAATTGAAATAAGTTCTCAATGGACTGTAGTCCTACTGTCAGCAGACATTTCTCCCTTTCTTATGTTTTATAATTTCCAAGTAGTTTAATAAAGAGAAGGAAGACAAAGGTCTTATTTTGCATTTTTCTCAACTAAAATGAACCAAAACTAACAAATCCAATTGCGACCTACTTGACTCCATAATAATAGAGTTCATTTCCATGATAACTCTAGATTGGTAGCCCAGAAAGTATGAGCCAGTGAATTTGTGTGGTTCTGAATATATGAGTAAGCTTCTTCCGAATCATAGTATCAGAAGATTCTGAGTTGGAAGGGACCCACAAGGATGGATCATCAAATCCAACTCTTAAGTGAATGGCCCATAAAAGTGTTGAACCTATAACCTTGGTGGTGTTAGCACCAATCTCATAGAGTAACTCTTCTACTGTATTGAAAAGAAAATAAAATTTCTTGTTCATCACTTAGAGGAAGCCAAAATAAATCCCCTCTACATTCTGAATGGAAAGCTAGCTGTTAATCCTACCATGTGCATAGGATATGGTGTGTCAGGCTGGGCTGGGAGCAAGTAAAACTGTCCCCACTTAACTCAGCAACTATCCAATGACTCTGGATGGCTCCAGAGGTGGCACACCAGAAGCACCCCCACAGCTGCAGCTCTGCCCTTACAGCAAAAGCTGCTGAAGTCACTGTCTGCAGGATGTGTTCTAACTACCCCATCCCTTCAAAGCCTCAGAGTCGGCATTACTGAGACATGCAATCTTCCCAGGCAGCTTTTCTAAACTGTACCACTCCTTCTATAAATACAGCAGTTGCAAAGCGAGTGTACTAAACAGATTCTTAGCAGCATATTCCTATCAGCCCAAGTCTCTACTGACACTTCCTTCCTGGTAGACAAAAAACACCAGGTGTCTAATAGGGGAATTAGCCATATTGGCAAAGGGGAATTTCAGACTACCAGCTGTACAAAGACTGTGAGCTAAATTATCCAGCTACAGTGAATCATGTTGAAGGAAAGGTGTACCTGTAGCAGACTAATCCAAATACCAGTGCTTATGCAACACTTAAGTCACATTTAAGCCGTATTTGGAAATCTTCCTGTGGTACACAAGTCTTGTAATGAATCAAGAAGTCAGGTACAGGAATGAAACATTTCAAACAGACAGGAAAAGAAACAGCTGCTATTAGATGATACTGAGAAAACTACAGATAAACATAGAGAACACTGAACAGGAAAAACAACATAATAGGAAATACCAAAATTAAAAAAAAAACCCAAACCTAAATCCAAAAAGGAACTATAAAAATGAAATTTAAAATAGAAACATATCAAAACTAAAAGCATACATTTTGATATCTTCAACAGCACCCTGAGCCAACAGAACTAAAGAAGTAGTATTGATAAACAGCTGACAGTTGCTTTAGTGACAGAAACTAGCTATTTCTTTTGCATCTTTCTTGGCTAGTAAGGAATGAACAGTTCCTGTTGTACCCATATGACTCTATGACCCCATCAGCATTCCCTTATCTTCAAAAACATGAAACCAAATTTTAGCCCATTCAGCTATCAAAGTCACCAACTTAAACTGATATTGTAATCACAGGTTTTTTTATTGATAACATTCAGAAATATTTGACATAGAATTAGGCTCTCCTGGTCTTAGTTGGAGAGTATCCTGTAAAAACAAAACCATTTGCGGCTGAGCATGTGTCCACTTGAAAAGTTGAGATTAAATACTTCCTCCTGAAGAGCATAGAGATGACTCATGTTTATCCCATGTTGCCATCTTGTAAATAAAAACTTGCCTTTCTTCTAAGATGGCTGGAAGAAAACAAATATATCCAGTTAAAAAAATGCATTTTGCGCTCCATTTTTCCATTAAATGGTCAGACTGGCTACAGAGACACTCTCAAAATGGTTACTAATAGTTATTTCCTAATACTCATAGAAATATAGGTTCTGCAACCTGAATCTACTTAGCTGTGGTTTCAGCAAAACAGTATTTTTCCATCTTTTTAAAATTATTGTTATTATTATTCTGGCTCTTCTTTCTAGACATCAGGTCTGAAAAAACAGAACACTGCTAATACAATGAGAATCAACTAAAGAAGTATTTGTACAACAACCACCTCAGTACAAAAGAATACTGCTAGAAGAACATTTGATAAAGCTGTGAAGCTTCATTCTGGAAAGGAAAATAAAGATTTTAATACATGTACCATTCTTAGTGATGAAGGAAAATATTTCAAAGGGCTAAATCACCTCCCTAAAAAGTGGTACTATATTCCTGTCCAGTTGTAATAAATATTTTTACTGCTCATCATAGTGAAATACATTCCTCTGTTTGAATTAGGTTTTGTTTGCCATCTGTTTTTCAGAAATTCATATGCAAAAAGTAGTTTCTAAAAATAGAAAGAAGTGTTCTGGCAAGGTGTTCCATTAGCCAAATACCCTAGGGTATACCGTACCATGGCATCACCCCCAAATTATATGGTATCTGAACCACTGGTATCTGATATCAGTGGCATCACTGTAGCCGTACAATATTAATAATTATTCCAAATTTACCAAACATTTTGCTTTCTGCACTATATTTTCATACAGTCTGTTCGCATGCATGTTTGTATTCCTCTGTGTCAGTGCCAACTCAGCTCCACTCACTAGAAGGTAACTTTCTGAGTCTGCCACGGGTGTTAGGGAAACTTCCCAGTCTGACCATTCACAAAACTCTTACAGTCACATACCCCGGAGGTGTCACAGGGGCAAAGGCTCCCACTGCTGGAAGCGCAGCCCCCGCACGGCGGGCGGCTCCAGAGAGGCGAGGGCGCCTCGCTTGACACATCTCCCCACACCCCGGCTCTCACACGGTCAGACCAGGTTTCCTTACCGGTTCGACCCCGGTTTCCCATAGCGGAATCTCAGATACCTCGTTCCATAAAGCAATTTATTCCTGTGCAGTAACACAGAAACATCTCGAGCTGGTGCCCCTGAGTAAAGCACCAGCATAAAGAACCTATGGGCTTCTACAGCCTCACAGTCGCCCCTTGAGCCAGTCTCGCTCTTCCGCCCGAGTCTTCGGCTCTTGTCCCACTCTTCATGTTCAACGACTTCGCTCCTGCTGTGTCTCCCAGAGTCTGTTCACCTGGCTAGTGTCACCCTCTTCGCGCCCTCGGATATCCCGAAGGTTTGTAGTTCACGGCTTCTTGTCTCGGGCTCCCACCCAAAGCTTAACCTGCATCTCAATCGGCAGTTTGCGATCCCAGCTACCTGGACCAGACGCACTCCTCAGCATCTGGTCAGGCACGTAAGTAGATGATGTCTGAAACTCCGCTCCATCCCCCTACCTCTTGTATTAATCCTTGCTGTCTGTTCTCGTCACCGTTCACCAAAGCCTGACAGCGGCACCCACGCAGCACTAACTGCCCGGGGACATTAATTCCATCCGAGGGCGATTCCGTCCCTAATTCCCCGCCTCCCGCGGCCGCGCCTGCGCGGGCCCGCCCGCGCCTGCGCGGAGCTCGCCGTGCGCGGGGCGGCCGAGAGGGGCGGCCGGGGGCGGGGGGCTCTGCCCTGGGGCTCCGCCGCGCCCGAGGTT